GTGTGGCATTTTAGAAAAAAGGATAAAGTCAAGTTAATATGATTTGGATGCTTGATGTTAGAATCACTGTTGTCTGGACAACACCTTCCTTTGAAGAATGTCAACGCTCTGCAATGGCATAGAAGAAAAATGCAGATGATTTATAAAGTATCTACAAGGATTCGGGTCAGCCTTTTTAGGACAAGAACAAATGAAGCCGTGTTGACATGGGCTGTGTTGACAATAACACAAACAAGGCAGAAGTGAAACAGCTCTGTTGGACTCAGCCCAGATGGAGTCTGTGCTGGCCAGATGTATAAAGTACATAAAAGATAGTGAGATAAAAATACTTTTGGTATTTTCTAAAATAGTCATATGATACCATAAAAATATAGGCTGTACTAATAAGTCGGAAAATACCAGCTTCATGTGTATGTTTATATAGATTTAATTGAGTATCCAAAGTGTATTATGCAGTGATCTTAAAATGAAAGGGTTTAAAGTAAATGAATAAATTCAAGATGTGAGACAGTAAAACACTCTCCAGTGACTATGGAGAAACAGCGTCACCGTTCCGGGTGTCTGGCATTATATCAAAAGGTTTCGATACGATAAGTATCTTAAAATTCTTTAATGATGATATAACAAATATGTGACATGAATCCAACATAAAATACAATAACAATAAGCACACACTGGTAGAGGAATGGTACCAGACTGTGCTGATGGGCTGAGGCCGGGCTGTCATATGGAAAACGGTTTCTAAGTCCAGATACCTTGGCCCTGCCCCAGATTCAGTAGGTCTGGAGTGGAGCGTGGGAACCTGTATTGTTTTGAATCCCCAGTTGCTTTTTATGTTCATCCACGTCTGGGAGCCACGGACCTAGAGAACAGACTGAGTCCGTCAATAAATTTACTGGAAAGGTGAGTCTGTAGAGAAAATGGAGTCACTCAGGCCGTTGTCCACCTCCTGCTACCTGCAGGCTTACATTCCTCCCAGGTCACGTTGCATGTACATGATGCATGATGACGCAAGAAGCGCTTGGGAGTGTGAGCATGGGGTATGCACACGTAGGATTGAGGACACCTGGGCCGAGAAGCCAGGGATAAAAGCGGAGGATCGTGGGGGCTGGAGGCTAGAGGCTGCCTGCCTGCCTCCCTGTCTCCCTCTCTGCTGTTCAGCCTGTGAATCCAGTCTCCTGGTTCAGCATTAAAGGCACGTTAGAGATACTGAAGGCTCTAAAATGCTCTTTTCATCTGCCCGAATCAACCATGAACCTGCCCGGTCTGGAATGGTTGCACAGGAGAGAAAGTTCTCTGAGCACCTAAAGGAGGCCTCCTGGTTTGCACACTGGCTATTAACTCTTTTTACTTTTTTTTTTTTATCTTTTGCTTAACTTTTTTTTTTTTTTTAATAAGGGGAGCATAGTGATACAATCCACTTTCACCATCCATATAGTTACTTTTCCCCTATGCTTTTCAAGGTCTGATTGGAGATCCCACTAACAACATTCCCTTCCACCAATTTACCAACTCCCCTTACCACCAGTACAGGTGTTAGCTCTCGGACAGCCACCACACGCTCACTCACGACTGTGTGCTCCACCTGTGCCCAGAGTAGATGTAGACACTGCTGGCCAGGAGTGAAGCCACCTCACTTTCTCAGGTCTTTCTTGGAACCAATCTACTATCGCTGGTCAAGGTCTCAGACTGCTAGAGCAAAAATGCCCATCAGAGGGGTGCTGCGTTGGGTGGAAATGGCCTAGCCTTGACCTCACTGCCTCAACCAGCCCATAGACTTGGTCAACATGGAAAAGGGCCTCTTGCTGCTTTGCCAGCTTGATGATGTGGCTGTGCATGGAGAACTGGGCAGCACTCCAAGAAGGCCACCAGCAGGGGGTGCCAGTCCTCAACCAGGGCAGATTTTATATCATCTCTCCATAAGGTGCTAGGCATTTCCAACACTTGGACATGCGAGAAAATTAAAGCACAGCACTTATGCTGCTCACCTGGTGCTCTGAAATGGAGTGCTAATTATTCCACAGCTAAAAGCATATAGACCATTTGATTCCTCCTAGACCATCAAGATACCCTGTATGCTTCTGTGAAAATTTTTGACAATGCTCCTGGGATGACTTCCTCAATTTTCATTGGAAATATCTCCATTTCTACACAACCAATCCCTTCGTTCTAATGCCACATGTTGGATAATATCAACAAAAGTTCAGTGGCCAAGGAGCAATAAACATTCAGGCCACAGCACTCTTTTCAAGAGAAAAATAAACAGAGCTCAGCATTATTTCCATGTAACTCATGAATGGTATGAGTCTCCAACCCTGCAGAAGAAACAGAAAATTGGATTTTGAGCACGGCCTATTGGGTTTAGCGGCAGCACAAGCAGACAAAGATGAAACGTAGTAAATTACACATTTGCAATTTGAATTCCTACTCCTCTTCCTGTCATTTATCGCCCAAGAGAAGATGGTCTAAATCAACCTTTTCTCAACCAGGATCCTTCATTACACTGGCTCCTTTATCAGAACTTTCCTTGGCCCAGTGAGAACCACTCACCAATTCACAAAAATGCCCCAAAATTTCCTGCTTTTCCTGTGTTTTTGGTCATCCGGGGGCCATCAACTTACTTTCTGTGTGTCTCTGTCTTTGCCAGTTTGGGATATTTTAACCTCCATCCATCGAAACATCATTTATCTTTCAAAGTCTATGTCCATTCACTCCCTTCCACGAAGTCCTCTCCTGATCCCATCTATCAAGTCACGACCCCACACACAAAGCCTTCAGGGTGCAACAGTCCATGTATAATCAAGCCACAAGATTGGAGTCACCCCCAATCTATTAATAGAGATAGAGCCTCACCTACTCTACCCCAAGTCCATGGCTGTGGGGTGACAAGTCCTCTCGGTTTGCCAGGACTCACAGGCAGACTTTAGTGCTAAAGCTGACATCAAGGAGGTTCCTCAAGAGGCAGACCTTTTCAGTTTAAAAGCAGGACAGTCCGGGGTAACTCCATTGCCAAAGCCAGTATGTACAAAAATATTTTCCATTTGTCTATTATTTTCCTTCTTTGTAAAACTAGGCCACTTCTGCAATGTTGCAATAACCGAGGGTAGAATAAGTCATTAGGTCCTCACCACACCAGTTATTATGGATGCTCAATTTAACCAAGAGGGCATACCTTTAAAAATAGGGAGCCTGATAGCATTCCTCATTGGAACAGGGACTTACACACCAATTCCAGAAGAATCCCAGAAGAATCAGGAGCTCCATTTGCTTCTCCTCAGCCTGTCCTCTGCTCTTCCTGTGTCCCACATGAAGACACGTTTTCTATTGACATCTCAGCCAATTGGCACCTCCAACTGACAGTTCCACTTGGCGTCTCCAGTCAGTTATTCTACCCTAAAACTACTTTTTTGTCCTCTCCAAAATCTTTAGTTTTATTGACAAAGATAAAAATCAGCTTGGTAAATAAGGCATGAGGGAGAAAAGTTAGTGAGCAAGTAGTGTGATTATTAAAAGGTGTGACATGGGTGGACGGAGGAAAATATTTTTTTGTGATTAAAATCTTTCAAGGAAGTAGCTCTGAATACTGTGTCATATTTCTCTCAAGTATCTTTCTTTGATGAGATGGTGATTAGAACTGCTCAAGAAGATGAGAGTTGAAATTCAAATTGAAAATTGAAATACAAATGCATCTGCCAAGACCAATGAATCAGTTGGGAGATAAGTTATAAAGACACAAGATGCTATTTTTAAAACATTGTAAAATATCCAAAATGCAGGTATATTACATTAAAGTAAAAATAGGGGCCTCCCTGGTGGTGCAAGGGGTTAAGCACAACACTAGGAGCTGTCCGCAGGCTCTGCAGCACAAGTTCGATCCCCGGCCAGGGAGGTGACCTGCATGGCGCAGCAGGCCTCTCCTGACTCACCTGCTGCTCCCCTCAGCGGTGTATTTCAGTAGATTCACCTGTTCTGCTCCCCACTCTGTCTCTGGTGAATCCTCTCACTCCCCACAGCTCTGGCCTGTACCCCAGCTCTTGTATGCATAAATAAATATTTTTTAAGAATTGAAAATAGAACAGTAAGATTTAGTGGAATATGCCATCTTGGCAATGTTTGTCCCATAAGTGTGTGAGACAGTCTGTGTCAAGGCTGACAAGGGACAATGTGACGAGAGCCAGTGCCACGGCCCAGGAGGGGTATACTCAGCCACGGCTAGATGTCTTTCCCCGATGGAAGAGCAGCTTTCTGGCTCCTTCCCCGGATCATGGTGTCTCTCCTGGAGCTCAGTTAAGTCTCAGTCGTCAACATGGCCCATTCAGAGAATGGCAAGTCCTGAGAACATACTGTTCGAATGCCTGATAATTATTTTAAATACTCGGTTGTATTTTCTAAATACTGAAAAATAGGTATTTCTTCTGAATCACACCAATGTCCTCTATTAGTTTCCCACATAATTTCCAATGCCCACAGTTCAGAATACCCATCTGTATGTGGAACACTTTCCATGTGGCTAAGCAACACACCTCATTTGAGTAAGATCAGTACAAAAGGATCCCTTTTACTTGCTTTGGCAGTAACTCATTTTTATTTCAAAGTTTGATAGTAGAGGAAAACAGATGCCAAGGCAGACTGTACTTGGTACAGGAAAACAAAAGAATTTAATATCTGATGTCTAAGAAAGTACCAGTGGTTGAGTTCAGCAGGAAAGGAAAACCCCACTTGCTGTTGCCCTCAGAGGTTTACCCTTCGCGTTCTGTTCTCCGATAGAGTTCTCTGCTGACGGGCATCATCTCCACAGGAGCTGGCTGGGAACCGTGCTGTCCAGAGCTAGGAAGCATCCTACAGACTTTCCAGTCCAACTGTTTAATTCTTTAAACATAAGAACAGAGGACAGAGGGGGCAGAGTGGAGTGTGTGCCCCGGACAGAGCCTCTGCCCATGGGGTGAACACTCCCTCCGGATGAGATATCTCTTTCCTCTCTGCTTTCTCCCTCCCTCCTGTCCATGATCCCTTCCCCTGAACACATTCTCAAGTTGCTCTCTTCTTGCAAGAAAAGGAAAATTTGTCTTTGACCTTGGAGTTCGTACTGCATCCATCTGTTAACATCGAAATTCTTGAGTGATTATTTTTCCTTCCCCGAGTAGATGTTAGATGTGAAATGCCTACTATGTGCTTGGCCCTGTGATTAGACAGAGGGAGAAAGGGAGAGAGTGAGAGAGGATCCATATCTTTCTAAGAACATACAAACATATGTACATATATAAAAACAAGTCTGGATACCACGCCATGTTGGTTTCTAAATTTATACAATGAATTTTTTGAATATCAGTTTATAATGTCATATAAGCTTCAGATGTGCATTATAAAATGTGGCCTCTATATTTACAACTTTATGATCAACACCAAAAGTCTAGTTTCCATCCTCTACCTTGCACTCGACCCCGTCACCCAATTTATCCACCCCCTTCCCCATTCCCTCCTGATAATCACCATTTTGTTCCTATAGTTTGAGTTTCTTTCTATTTTTCTCATTCATTTGTTTTATTTCTTCATCTTCCGTACGAGTGAACATAGAGAGGATTTGAGTTTTTCCTGACTTATTTCATTTAGCATAATACCATCACTCCCACCCATGTTGCAGCAAAGGGCAAGATTTCTTATTTTTATAGCCAAGTAGTATTCCATTACGTAGTCTGCACCACATCTTCTTTATCCACACATACCTCCATGGGCACCGAGGTTGTTTCTGAATCTTGGCTACTGCGAGCAGTGCCGATCAACGTAGGGATGCATATGTCTCTTCAAATTAGTATTTTGATCTCTTTGGATAAATACCCAGAAGTAGAATGACTGGATCATATGACAGCTCTATTCTTAATTTTTAGAGCAGCCTCCAGACGGCTTCCCACCAGTGTATGAGGATTCCCTTCCCTCCACGTCCACCAACAGCTGCTACTTCTCACCTTTTTGATAACAGCCATTGTCACTGGTGTTAAGTGATAGATCACTTAACTGATTTTAAATCACTGATTTTAAATCAGCCATTCTAGGCACTTACAAGTTAATCACTCAGAGAAATCTAAGATATGTGTTGAACATTTTTCATTGAACTCAAAACATTGAGAAGATGTTTTGTGACTGCAGTGACAACAGTTTTATTAAATTGAAGTGACAGGGCTCTAATCGCGGGGTTGAGGAAACAATGGGAGGTAAGAATGTGTTCCCACAGCTCTCTGCTCCCCCCTTATAATGCTTTTAATGTCATGCCTTGTTTAATTGTTCTTGTCTCCCCTGTTAGAAGAAAAGCTTTGCAGGAGCAGTTATCTTAACTGCTTTCATTGCAGGACCAAGCACATAGTAGGCATTTAACATCCACTCTGGAAGAAAGAAAGGATAAACAGAGCCCAGAATTTTAACCAAAAAGGGGAGAAGCAGTAAAAACTACAAAGCCAAGGAAGATTTATTTCACCTTTCCTGCAGGAAGAGAGCAAAGCGTAATGTAATGTGTGACTGGAAGAGGAGAAAGCACCTGTGGGAGAGACTGAAAATCTTATGGGAAGAGGGAGTAAGACCCCTGGTGGTTCGGGGAGGAGATGGAGTTGATACTCCAGGGGGAGAAACGGGCTTTGATCAAGAATGAGGCCTCTTGCCAGGGTTAAAGTAAGGGAGCAAGGAAATCAGTCAAAGCTCAATTCATGTATTTATGCAACTAATATGTCCTCAGGACTTGGTAAATGCTGGAGTGTGAGAATGAGGAGGAAATAAATTTAAAGTGTACACAAAACACTGTTCTCAATAATTAGCCAAAAAATACCCAAGTATAATTAAATTGTAATTTGATGTCTCAAGAGAAAAGACAACTTTGAAAGGAAGAAAGGCTAACACACCTAAGCGTGATAACTCTGAGTGAAAATGTATATGTAATTATGTTTGTAGATATCACCATTGTTCTTCTTGGGTAAATAGTTCTTCCTCCATCTTCCTTAACTGCTATAAAGATTCCAGAATGTTTTGTTATTCTATATATGTTAATGATTTTAGTTGATTTTTATAGATGTTTGGTTTCATTATCTCTTCCTTTGGCTGGAGAAACCTATTCATTTTTAAGAACCAGTAGTTCCAAAGGGCACTGAAGAATAGATTGAAGAAATCAAAGAAAATTGTATTTTTTACTGAAGCTAAATAACCAGTTCAGTAGACTAGGTCATTACTGCTGGTGCTTCCTTCCCAATTCTGCCAATTTTCCCTTAGATGCTGTGAAGTATTGTCAGAAACAGAATGATACTCATGCTTGAGAGTTGTTTTAGTATTTATTTATGTGTGTGTTTATACACATTAAAATTCAAGTGGTTACTCAAATCAGTTTTTACTCATCTTCCTTTACTTTAAAGATATATTGAAATAGATTTTTGAAAAGTTACAAAAGTAGTACATAGGCATGATAAAAACTCAAACACTACAGAGCTGAATAAAGATAAATGTATCACCGACCCCACCCTATGCCACATATGATAGTTCCTACTTCCTACTTGAGCATCTGAATTGACAGCATAAAAACCCCATGCATCACACTCCTGTTTACTGAAGCACTAAAAACATGTGTTTATAGGGTTCTTCTCTTTTTATGAAAGTAGGATCAAATGTGAATGTTGTAGTAGAACTTTATTTTGGAGTTAATGGTACACATGAATATCTACATGCATTGGCCAAAAAAACTGAAATGCATTCTTCAAAATTTTATTAAAAAATTTTCAGATAAACCCCAAAGTTTAAATAATTTTATAGTAAACACTCATATATTCAATGTCTAGATTCAACTACCCAAATGTTCTAGATTTGATAGATCAGATACTATCTACCTATCACTCCACCAATCCATCTCTATCCATCCACCAAACATCTCATTTTTATTCAGTCCAAAGTCAACTACAGTCATCAGCACATTCCTCCCTAAGTTTTAAAGTATTCATATGATTAACTAGCATTCAATATTTGAATTTTTTTTAATTTTTGATGTTAAACTTACATTTGATAAATTGTATAAACTTGAAATATCTTTATTTTTCTAGTTTTGATGACTATAGACATTCATGTAATCCACATACCTGTCGAAGAACAGGATATTTCCATGACCCAGTTCCATATACACAACACTATTCTGACTGCTTTTTCCATCACAGGTTAGTTTTGCCTGCCACAGAATTTTATTGAAATGGAATCACATCTTCACTTTTGTATAAACTTTCTTTTATGTATAAATTTTTTAGATTAAATCATGCAGTAGCATAAATCAGTAGTTTGCTCCTTTTTCTTGCTAAGTAATATTCCATCCAATTAATATTTAATCCTACAATTAATATTTACTCCATTAAGTTGGATCATTTCACTAAGGAGCTACACAAACCTTCTCTCACTGAAAGAAGCGGTAATGTGACAGGATGCATGTCACAGCTATTTCAGGACTGTAAAAAGTAAATGGTAATAAGCAGGCTGGGGTGAAATAAGATGAAAATTCAAAGCATCACTGAATTGGAAGCAAGTTTCCCATTTTCATTTCAGTATCCTCCACCATGGATACTGGCAGCTTTAGCTCTACCATCAGATTTCTAGGTTTCATTGATAGTGTGGCTTTATCTGACCCTTGTTTTTCTGTAGTGCACATGTGACACCAACAGTGTCTGACTTTCTCCTTCTTATTTGGCTTTGTATAAGCCCTTCCAACTCCATCCATGTTGTCACAAATAGCAAGAGTTCATTTTATTTTTATTTTTGATTGCTGAGCAGTATTCCATTGAGTATACACACCCCATCTTCTTGGTCTACTCTGGCTTTGGACACCTAGGTAAGTTTCCATAGTTTGGCTACTGTATACAGTGCTACAATGAACACAGAAATGCATATTTCTTTTCAAATTAGTATATGGAGGTTTCTCAGAAGTTTAAAAATCAATCTTCTCTATGATCCAATATAGGTTATTCTTAAATTCTTGAGTTCTTTACAATACATATGATGTTTAAAAGCAAAAGTTATCAGTACTTTCCAATGGGATTTTAAGTGTGTATGTGTATATGTAAACATAATATATGTCATAATGTACATATTATATATAGTATATCTATGCAATACATAAGAAAACTAAATATTAAGTTTCTCTAAAAGGCAGAAAAGAGAAACATGAACAAAAATGAAGAGGAAATGGTTAGAAATAAAAGTCACTGTAAACTCCAACAAATAGTGTCAGAAAGCACCAATTCAAATAAGGAAACTGTCAGAATAATGAAACAAAATCAAAAAGCAAACAACCAAAAAGACCTGATCTCTAAAAGAAACACTTCAAATATAACAATGTAGGTAGCTTCAAAGTAAAAGTACAGAAAAATATATACTATGTAGTGTATATTCAAGAATTCAAAATGGTTTTATCATTCTTGGACAATGTGGGATACAGAGCAAAGGAAGTTACCAGAAGAAAGGAAAAAATTACATAAAAATAAAAGGGTCCTTCCATCAAGAAGACATATAATCCTAAACATGAATATACCTAGCAATAAAGTTGAAAATATATGAAGCAAAATCTAAAAAGCTAAAAGGAGAAATAGCTAAGACAACAATATAACTACAGACTACAAACTCCTCTGTCAATACCAGTAGACAAAGTATAAAAATAGTAAGAATGTAAAACTGAACATCAACTATCCAAAATATCATAGAGCCTTATATCTCAAAATTATGAGATACGCATTCTTTTCAATCACATATGGAATATTCATCAATACAGACCATATCTGAGTCAGAAACCTTAAATTTAGGAGGAATTAAATCAAAGGAAGTATGCTCTCTGACAAAATTAAATCAATCTACAAATAAGTAGCACTAATATAATCAGAAAATATTCAGATACTTTAATTTTAAACAACATATTTCAAAATATTCCTGGGTCAAAGAAGAAATCTTGAGGGGATACTAGAAAATATTTTGAAATGAAAATAGACTATATCAAAATTATAGGATACAGTGAAAGCAGTGTTTAAAGGGAGAGTTATACCAATAAATGCTTATATTAGAAAAGAAGAGTCACAGATGAATAACCTAAACTATAAGAAATTTAATACAAAGAAAAAAAAGAACAAAAATGGATGTATCATGTTCATGGTTGCAAATTATACTACAGAGCTACAGTAATCAAAATAGTATGGTATTGGAATAAAAACAAGCACACAGATGAATAGAGTAGAATAGAATCAAGAGCACAGAAATAAAGCTACACATATATTCACAACTAATTTATGACAAAGGAGTCAAGAGCATACAATGGAGGAATGAAAGTCTCTTCAATAAATGGTGCTGAGGAAACTGAACAGTCACATACAAAAGGTTGAAACTAGACCACTATCTCGCAGCACACACAAAAATGAATTTAAAATGAATTAAAAAGTTGAAGGTAAGACCTGAAAGCATAACATACATTGAAGAAAACACAAGTATAAAGCTATTTGACATCAGTCTTAACGATGTAGATTCCTCTCCAAAAGCATATACACAAAAAAGAGAATATAAACCAATGGAATTACATCAAACTAAAAAGCTTCTGCACAGCAAAAGAAACCATCATTAAAGGAAAGAGGCAGCCAACCGAATGGAGAAAGACTTTGCAAACCATCTATTAGAGAGAGGGTTAATATACAAAATTTATAAACAATTCAACAACAGCAAATAAAGTACAACCTGATTAAAGAATGTGCAGAGGATCTAAATAGGCATGTCAGTGATGAAAACATACTAATGACCAACGGACACTGATATGTTTATTTATTGCCGTAGCAACAGATTGCTACAGATCTATTAAAATCAGTAAAATAAAAAAAAAAAAAACTTACAACACCAAGTGTGGATAAGGATGTGGAAAGCTTGGAACTCCTACGTATTGCTGGCAGTTCTGCAAAATGGTGGACCCTTGAAAAAAAGAGAACAGGAACTTCTTATAAAGTTAAAGATAAAAATGCTCTATCAGCAATCCTACTCCCAGGTATTTATTCTAGAGAAATATCTATCAGAAAATATATCTTTACACCAAAACCCTAACACCCATGTCTACCTTCATAATCACCAAAAATTGGAAACAACCCAAATATATCACATGAGTGAATAGGATAAGCAAACTGATACACCCATGAAATGAAAGACTACTCAGTAATTTTATTTAAAAAGATTAATGACAAATACAACAACTTAGATGGATCTTGAATGCTGAGTGAAAGATGCCAGGTTCAAAACGTTGCCTATGTGTGATTCTATTAATTCAACATTTTGGGGGAAAATAGGAGAGAAAATAGGTGAGCGGTTGATTGCCTATGGGGAAAGTGAGAGGACCGCTGTGTTTTCTATTTTGTAAATGTAGCTGTGCTGCTTACCTTCTGCTTTTGCAATAATTGGTGTAAAAAGATGTGGCTCTTTCTAAGCCTAGATGTCCTCATTGTCAATGAATCAGTTGTTTGTCCTTTTCAATATTAACAACATTTATACATAGTACATCAGCAAAAGGTGTAATGCAGGTCCTGTATTAAGTGTAGATTGTCTTGAGGACAAAAAACAAGGAATGAATGTTCCTATGCAAAAATTCTGGGTGACTATACATTAAAACTGAAGAATCAAAGAAATGAGCACCCTAGCCACCAGCAATCAGTGCAAAGTTGAATTATTCGAGGTACATTAAATGACATTTTGAGTTGATCGTCTTTTTAAAATATTATATGAGAGATCAAAATCAAAAGTATGCATGTAAGTATGAAAATAATCATTCATACAAAATGTGAAAAGATAATTTTTACAAAGATACCATTAAATTTATTCACACGTGTGTGATCTTTTAGATTAAATATCACTTAGAATTTTAGGGAAATGAGACTTCATTATAAAGCCAGATACTCTTGGTTGAACTCCCCTCAGTAATATCCGTACTCCCAGCCGTGTCTAACAGAACCCCAACTTTGGGTAGCAAAGTACTTAGTGCAGTCGACTCAACTGCAGAGGATGATTCACAAGCAACCTAGTCACTTTCCCTTTACTGGCCGAGATGCCCCAGTCCCAGCCAATAAATCTTAGTAGGATATCCAAAGGATTGACTAATGGATAAAGTTTTCTTCCTTGAATTAAAAAAAGAAAAGATGGCAGGAGAAGGAGCTCCCTCCCTGGTGGTGCAGGAGTTAAAGACACAGTGCTATGAAGCTATCACCAGCCACTGCAGCAGGAGTTCAATCCCCGGCCAGGGAGCTGACCCACATGGTGCAGCAGACCTCTCCTGTTTCCCCGATGCTCCCCTCAGCAATGGATTTCAGTAGATCTGCCTGTTCTGCTCCCCAGTTTTTCTGGTGAATCCTCTCACCACCACCCCTACCCACCCCGCACCTCTGAATTATACCCCAGTTCTTGTATGCATAAATAAATAAAACTTTAAAAAAAAGATGGCGGGAGACACTCTCTAACTCCTATGTTTGATGCAATGTGGGATCTGCCACCTGCACCTTCGGTAGCTGTTTTTGGACATCAGGGGACAAGGAAGAAAATAATACTCAAGCTCCTGACATGAGCTGACTCGAAAGATGGAGAGCTTCAACCTGAGGACACTGCTGGGCCACTGACTACTGAACTCTAGAACACTTTTCTCTAAACTTCTTGACACGTGACATAAACATACCCACTATGTAGGTCACAGGGTCTTGAATACCCTGTTCCTTGAAGCCAAAATATATCCCACCTGCGAGGAAAGAAAAAGCAGGGGTTTGTTTGGGGTATGTTCAGTCCTTGGAGGGGCTGACTACTGTGGAGTAACCCAGGAAGGGCAGGTGTCCAGGACTCCAGAGACGTGACCTCTGTGTACACACATCAACTGCCATTTGTCACTTACAGTCATCTCTCCATAATGCGGTAAGCGCTTCCTCAAGCTAGCACGACAACTAGCTATGAAACGATGAAATTCAAGTTCTGCAAGTTCTGCAAACAATATAAAATCCCACAGTAACCAGGAGGGAGGTCTGGATGACAGTAGGGTCAATGGAGATTGGTCAGGTTTTTGCGCCCTTGGCCTCTGTGGCTATCGCCTGCAGCCTTGGATGCTTGGGAGTACAGGCTCAGAGTCCGCATGCCTCATGCCGGACACTGGGAGCACGGCGTGGGCATGCGTGGCTGCGCACACCTGCGCCTGGATGCTGAGCCTATAAGGGCAGAGCCACAGAGGACCGAGTGTGGCAGAGAACAGCCACAGGAGGAAGAGTCCAGAGAGAGTCAAGATTTGTGGGGGGTGGTGGGTGGGGGAGGCTGTCAGCTTCAGGGGGGCCCAGTCCCCCTGCACACCCTGCTGCCTGCACTGCAGTGACCGCACATGCCTTTCGACACGATTTCCAACTTGTCGACTACCCACTCCTTTGAACTGTACAAAATAGCAAAACACCACAGTGAGCCACCACTAAGAGGGCTTCGTAATAGGAAGACACGGTGACGAGGAAACCCACGATGGCCTCCTACCTGCACGTCCCATCTGACGCCCAGTGAACACACCCCATCTGCTTCCAGAGTTTTCTTCAGCCCTCCTATACCTGCCTAACTCCTTCATATCTGAAATGAGTCAGAGCAAGCCAATGGTTGGGACAACCAACTCCAAAATCCAGGAGCGGAACATGACAAAGGTTTATTTCTCATTCACATGGACCCTCCCCGGGACGTCAGCACCCAGACTCCACCTACCTCGGGCTCTCAGTCTCCTGCGGTGCTCCCTGTACCTGGCTGAGGGAACCAGTGGGGCATTAGCACAGATAAGAGCAAATGAATAATTCCTTCTTGCCATGGACTATTTAAGGTGGTGTCAAGACACCCAGGTTTGGCACCATTGCTAGCTAATGACTATGTCTCAGAACCTCCCCTCTCTACATAGTGTCACGACGACATGAGCTGCTTAAGAAGCTCAAACTTCTATTTTTAAGGACAATAATAATGTGGAAGGGAGCACTTTTGCTGAGGCTCTTATGAGGTAACACCGGGCTTATGGCCAAACCCTTAGTGATGTCTATTAGCTGCATCCCTGAGGACACATGGAAGCGCCACATGCAAACTTCCTGGCCAGGCGGAGAGAAGTTATCAACCACCTCCCACTCCCAGGGTTCTAGGCCACACGGGGACTCCTGGAGCAGGGCAGGTCGTGGTGCGCCCGCAGTCAGAGAAATCTGGAGGTACTCACATGGATAGAAGTCACCGGGGAGGGAACCCCTTCTAAACTCTTTGCCCTCGTCGTCCTTGATACTCTTACTCTAAAAGGTAACCACAGCCAGCTACCTGCCAGGGACAGAATCCTACCTCTGGTCATCTAGTTTTTGTTCAGTTCAATTGGGGATTATTTTTTTTCTTTTTCTTAAAGAGAAGGTGAAGGGTAGACGGGGTGTTAATGAGGGAAGACAACGTGTCAGCAGCTGTGGCTCTGCAGAGGATGTCTCTTTGTGCAAGAGTTCGCCAAAATTGTGACTTTTTGGCAGTGGTTTTAGAAAAGCTCCAATTCTGGGGAATGGGTGAATCTGGGGTTCAGAGGGCATCCTAGTTAGTGGTGCCTCTTTCCTCTGCCCGGTCTCAGCTCTTGCTCGCCGCGGTTCCATATTCCCCATTTCCCTCCATCGGCCCATCCTGGCTAAGCCAAATCCGACCCGGAGCGCGCGCCTCACCAGCCCCTCCCCGCGCTCGGGCTGCAGCCTGGCCCGCCGGGTCCTCAGCCTGGACCCGGGGCGCTCCGGACGCTGCGCCTGCCCCTGCACGTCCCCAGCGCGTCTCCGCCCGCAGCCGGGCGCTCCTGCTCTCCGGGCTCCCTTCCCAAGGCCGCCCGCAGGGCACGCCCAGCCTCACGTGCCCTCGCGTCCCGCCGCGCGGCACCTGCTGCGCCGAGCGGCATCTGGCCACGCGCGGGCGGCGGCCGCGTCTGGACTCGGGCGGCGGGCGGCGGGCACCGGGCCGGGAGGGGCTGCGGGCGGGCCCGCGCTGTCGCTGCGGGGCGAGCGCGGGGCCGGGGTGTCGGGGCGAGCGCGCCCGCAGCGTCCCCAGGGCGCACGATCAGTCGCGGCGCCGAGCATCGCCCCGGAGCCCGGAGATGCCAGGCGCCCGCGCGCGGCGGGCGCACCATGGCGGGGGCTGCGCCGAGAGGCCCGAGTAGCGCCCGCGCGCTCGCGGGAAGGGACGCGGACGCCGTCGGGACCGCGCCGGGACCACGCGCCCGGCACCTGTTGGAAGCGGGAGGGAAAGTCCGCAGGCGGCACGGCAGGGAACTGCGCCCCGCGCCGCCGCCCGCCCGGCGCCTGGCCGGTGAGTACCCGCAGCCGCCGCGCTGGGCGCCGGCCGGAGACCCGGGGCCACCGCCCCGCCGAGGAGGCCGGACCCCGCCAGCGCCTGCGGGACCCGGCCGCCGCCCCCGCGGGCCGCGCTCGGGGATGCGGGCCGAGGGCCGGCGCTGAGCGGCCGCGCCCCCTCCCGACCCCAAGTGGACCGTCCCCTCCGCGCGCCAACCACGCGGCGCTCTGCGCCCGCGGCGCCCCCACGGCGCACACCCCTCCTCCCGCCCCGTCCTCCGCCCAGACGCAGGGGTGCAGCGCAGGGAGTCGGGCCGTCATGACAGAGCCAGAGGCAAAGGATCCCCGGGCTCCCCACGTGGCCGGCGGCGCGCGCTCCCCGCCCCAGGCCCGCTCCCCTCCGCCGGGGCGCGCGGACGCCGGGCCCCTCCCGGCCGGCCCGGCCGCCGCGCTCGCGCTGGAGGGGCTGCTGTTCCCGCGGCCGGGGCCCGGCCCGGCCCCCGCGGACCAGAAGACCCTGGACCGGCCGCCGCTGCCCGACGTGGAGGGGGCGTACCCCCGAGGGGAGGCCCCCGGGGGGGCCGGGGGAGGCGGCCCGAGAGCCCCCGACAAGGACAAGGACGGAGGGCTGCTGGACAGCGTCCTGGACACGCTGCTGGCGCCCGCGGGGTGCGCGCCGGGCCGGGCCAGCCCTCCCGCCTGCGAGGCCCCCAGCCCCTGGTGCCTGTTCGGGCCCGAGCTCCCCGAGGACCCCGGGGCCGGCCCCGCCCCGCGGGCCGCGCTGTCCTCGCTCATGAGCCGGCCGGACGGCAAGGCGGGCGAGGGCTCCGGGGCGGGCCCCGCGCAGAAAGGGCTGCCCCGGGGCCTGTCGCCGTCGCGGCCGCTGCTGCCCGCCCCCTCCGGGGGCCCGCACTGGTCCCGGGGCCCCGGGAAGCCGGCCCCGCCGCCCGGCGCGCTGGACGTGGGCGCGGAGGACGAGCGCGCCGACCTGCCCAAGAGCAAGCCCCGGCCCTCGGGGGACGCGCCCGCCGGTGGCGCCCTGGTGCCCAAGGAGGACACCCGCTTCCCCGCGCCCCGGGGGGCCTGGCTGAGCCGGACGCGGCCGCGGCGCCGCCGGGGCGCTCCCCGCTGGCCAGCTCGGCCATGGACTTCCTCCACGTGCCCATCCTGCCCCTCAGCTCGGCCCTGCTGGCGGCGCGCACCCGCCAGCTGCTGGAGGCCGACGGCTTCGACGGGGCGGCGGCCGGCGCCTTCGTGCCGCCGCGGGGCGCGCCCGGCGGCGACTTCCCCGACTGCGCCTGCCCGCTGGACGCCGAGCCCCGGGACGACGCCTTCCCGCTCTACGGCGACCCGCAGCCGCCCGCGCTGAAGATCAAGGAGGAGGCGGGCGGCCCCGACGCGGCCGCGCGCTCCCCGCGCGCCTTCCTGGCGGCCGCGGCCGGCCCCGCGGGCTTCCCCGAGCTCCCGCCGCAGCCGCCGCGCGCGCCCCCCGGGGAGGCTGCGGGCCCCGCCGCGCCGTCGGGGGCCGCCCTGGAGTGCGTCCTGTACAAGGCGGAGGCCGCGCCGCCCCCGCCCGGCCCGTTCGCGCCGCCGCCCTGCAAAGCGCCGGGCCCCGGCGCCTGCCTGGCCGCCGCCGGGCGCCCCCCGCGCTCTACCCGCCGCTGGGCCTCAACGGGCTGCCGCAGCTCGGCTACCAGCCCGCGGTGCTCAAGGAGGGCCTGCCGCCCGTCTACCCGCCCTATCTCAACTACCTGAGGTGAGCCCGCGCCCCCCGCGCCCCCCGCGCGCCCCGCGCCCCCTGCGCCCCCCCGCACGCCCCGCACCGCCCCCCGCCCCCTGCGCCCCCTGCGCCCCCCGCGCGCCCCGCACCGCCCCCCGCCCCGCGCCCCCTGCGCCCCCCGCACGCCCCGCACCGCCCCCGCCCCGCGCCCCCTGCGCCCCTGCGCCCCCGCGCGCCCGGCACCGCCCCGCGCGCCCCGCGCCCCGCGGCGCCCCGGCCGGGGCAGCGCGGCCTGAGCCGCTTGGGGTGCGTCCGCCCGGGGAGCCTTATCCACCCACACTTTGCAAATCCGCGCCAGGCGGAGGCCAGAGCGGCCCCGCTTTCAATTGTGCAGCGTCACGGCCAGTCGGAGGAGCGGGGTGGGGGCTCCCCAACACACTCTCCGGAGGACGCTGTCCCGGACGGACCCCTGCTGGGGCTGGGGCTGGGGGGGGGGACCCCGGGAGGAGGGCAGGCGCACCCGGTGGGCCGCCAGAACCGAAAGCAGAAGCGCCTGGGGGGGTTGGACACGGCGGGCGGTTTCCCCTCGAGTCTCAAGATTAGCAAGTTTAAGGGGCAGGTGCCGGCTCCTGCCGTCAGACCCGGGGCCGTGGACTCGGCGCCCTGAGGTTTCCAGTCGCTGCAACTTTTTTCACCCGGGGTTTCCAAACTATCTCATTTACATACCGAAGAAATGGAATTTAAAAGGAAAAAAAAAGGTGTTGGTTGGGAATCTTGTACACTGTGAGCAGGCGAGGCTGTCCGCAGAATGAGCAGTTCTTAAAAATGACAGACACGTTTGCTTGTTTAAATGAACTATCATGAGCTTTTAAAACTAAAGCGTGGCTCAGTCGGATTGAGAGCATAGAGCAACTTTCAAAACAACAAACAGAAAGAAGCCTCGCAGCCTTGCTCCTCAGAGGCCACGGAGGGCGAAGATAAAATGGTTTCCTTGTGCAACTGATATTTTATAAAGAGTTTAGTAGAAAGATTTTTTCCTAAGCAGTGACTCCAGCTTCTCTGAACAAAATTATTCCTTAATTATTTATTGTTGTCTATGCTGGAGGTGCCTGGCCAGGGGTTTGCACAGTCAGGGGAGTCCAGCCCCAGGGAATAGGCCCCCTACCCTTTGCATGTATTTAAAAAAAAACTTCCTGCCACGCTATCAAGGCTGGGTGAGGGAACCTTTAATATTAGATAGTTGTTCCTCTAAAAATAAATGGAATGCTTTGTTTTGCATTTCAAGGCCTGATTCAGAAGCCAGCCAGAGCCCGCAATACAGCTTCGAGTCTTTACCTCAGAAGATTTGTCTGATCTGTGGGGATGAAGCTTCAGGCTGCCATTACGGGGTCCTCACCTGTGGCAGTTGTAAAGTCTTCTTTAAAAGGGCCATGGAAGGTAGGCCGCTTGCTCTGACCCTTTATTGTCGGTTGACTTGTACACAGTGACCCTCCCATATGTCTAGATTTTAATCCTTCCTTTCTTCTTTGAAGAAGTGGTGCTGTTTCCATAAACTTGTATGTCTGAGGACATTCCCAGCATGTTTTTATTGATCACTCTCAAGATGGAATGCAGTCGTTAGAACTGCTGCAACTGCATGCCCATTTGACTAAAACTGTCAGTATTAGACCCAAGTCACACTTGAGCACAGTGTTACTGTTGCTCATTATTAACTTTGTAGCTTGACCGTAAATAGCTTTATTCTTATCCCGTCTTTCATATTTCTATTATCTTATAGAATCAAAAGAAAAAAAAAGGTGAAGGTAGTTGACATATTTATGTGTGTGTGTGTGTGTGTGTATATATATATATATTCATGTGTATGATGCAGTTACAAATTTTTACATGATTTTGTCCTTCCCTACATGCATATTTATGAATTATAAGTCTAAACAAGTTTTTTCAATTCACTCTTTTTAGTATATTTTTGTAAGTGTTTAAGGGGGATAAGGGTAAAAGTTTATAGTAAATGAAAAAGCTGGACATCACTGTAATATAATTTCTTAAGTGGGATTTTGCTTTAAGTAAGATTTTCCTTGTTTTAAAATCATTGACATCATTTAATCAATTATAGATGGAAACTCTTTGTATGAAAGAGTTTGTTCTCAAATGCCTAATTTGCAGCACCATTCCCTTCCAGCTTTGATTCTGGTCTCTTGAACATTCCCTTTTGCATGAATATGATTCCTTCATTCTCAGAATAGTATAATTTATAAATGTATGATCCCCTTAGGATCCCATAAGGTCCAGTATATTCTGACTCTGCACCCTGTTTTTAAAAGCAGATATCTAGTCCCAAACACATAAGCTAGTTAGTAGCTGATTGTTACTCAAGTTAGATATTTTGTAATTGCAATGGTTACACATGAGAGATGGTATGTGCAAGTAGAGATGTCATACATGCTCCTTCATTCTTGGAAGTCAATTTTTAAAATGTGTGCATAAAACCGAGAGCACCCTGACCGTAAAATACAAGGGCTTGCACATATTTATCCTCCGAATTACATCCAAAATCATTTTAACATGCCCTCCAAAATGCACTCTTGGAAAGCATTTGTTGGCACAGTCCTATTTCAGACTTGGGTAATAGAAACGAAACGGCATTATTCTGTGATGGTTGCAAAGAGGTGTTGATGAATCATTCATGAAACTAGAGCAGAATTGCAAGACAATATGAGTAAGTTCATTGAGCAATTATTTTATACCTCTTATATTTGTGCCAAAGATACTTTTTCCCCAACTTTACCTCTCTGCCTTAGATATTAAATGAGGATAACAATAGCCACCTCTGTGTTTGTTATAAAGATTAAAGGAATTAATACAAGTGGCGTATTTAAAAGAAAGCCTGGCATGTTGTCAGCTTCAGGGGGTACTGCTTTTACCTGCAAGGAACTTAGAACAGAGGGTGAGGAGTTACCATATGTGTGTGTAAAATATATGCAGGCAGAAAAGAGATTCCCACTAAATGCCCAGAGAAGCCATTCTGTAAGTATTTAAGATTTGTGTGGTTTGTGCATTTATGTGTTTGGGCAGGAGGGACATGGTTTAGGATGGGATGTGTATGTTGTAGAATGATAAAAGAGAGCTGCAGAGAATATGTGAACTTCATGTGGTTATTAAAAGACAAGTAAGATTTTTGATCTCTAGGCATTGAGGGAGAGTATTTAAGAGTATGTGTTTAAGGAAGAATAAAAACGTTAAGAATACTCTCTCTAAAACTTTGTATTAGGAAATACAATAAAGATTTGTATTAGGAAATTGGAAGAGTTAAAGGTTAGGAATTGTAAGAGTTAGAGGTTAATATTTGAATAAACTGGGATCTAGTGATCAAGATAAGAGAACATCAAAAAGGTTCTGGGAGTTTTCAATAGTGAAAAAAATGACTGGAAAGACTTAAAGTTGGAGAGAAACACTAGGTTTGAAACCTTACAGTAAAGCCAGGCTGTGTGTTGAGCTGGTTCAGTGTGGATGCCAGGATATCCCGAAGTTGAAATAGTCACATTAATAAATAGCCACATTAATAAAATAAATAGCCACATTAATCAATAGCCACATTCATAAAATAGGAATGTTCATGTTGCCAAGGATATTAATGGTGATAAAAGCATTATAGAGTGTTTTCTGCAGGCCAATGACTAGTTAAGTGTTTTATGGGTTTTAATGCATTTAATCCTTATAAGGATAGTGCTTTTACTCTCACTTACCAATAAGGAAACTGAGACCTAGAAATGTTAAGTTGTCTTAAAGAGGGGATGTCAGGATTCAAACCCAACTGGGGTGACTCCAGAGTCCCTGATCTTGGCCACTGTACTTCCCTTCTCTTGATAGACAATGTGGTTTAAATTCAAAAAAAAAAAAAAAAAGACAGATTAATTTCACATTAAGGCAGCAATGGGAAAACATAACCAAGGGTATAGAGCAGATTCCCCATCTCTCCTCCAAGTTAAAAGTGGGAGAAGATTAAAACCATAAAACCACCCAGGAAAGCTGGTGAGGTAGAGAAAAAAGAAGCCACTTAGGAAGTTTGGGTCCAGGACTAAGGAGAGATCCTCTCTCCTAATCTGAAATAATCAAGTAACCAAATAGCAAAGGGTTGAAGAGCCATTGCAGTCTTTACCAAGGCCAGAGTGAACCAGAAAGTAGTCAGGAGGTACCTTGAGCCCCTTCAAGGAGGTGAAGTCATGATGGTCTGCCAGTTCTAGAAATGCAGGCTGTTGACCTGGTATTGAAAAGGAAAGGGTCATTTCTCATTGGCTTGCCTCTGGATGCCCTGTGGCCAGCCTGGCACTCAGAATACACTAGACATTCAATAAATAACTTTGCTGAGTAAACCATCATCTTCCCAGATAATGTCAAGCTGTTACCCTTGGGATGCTTTACATAGTGGTAGTGAACACATTTGATGGAATAGAGTTGGCCAAATATTATAACACAGTTGAAACCTATAACATTAGGCTATGTAGGTATTCATGAACTTTTAATTATATTATTGTCTTCATTTTATTCTAGCTTTATTGAGGTATAGTTGACAAATAAAATTCTAAGATATTTCAAATATACAATGTGATGATTTGATATGCACATGCATTTTTGCATCTATGTTTGTGGTCTGTAGGTTTCTTATTTCTTTTGTCTGACTTTAAATTAGGGGAACCCTGCTTTACAAATTCCTTATATTTTCTGAAAAAGATTATGGATAATTAGTATGATTTCTTCCTTGAATATTTGGTAGAAATCAGGCCTCTCTAGTGGCGCAGCGGATTGAGCACAACGCTGTAAAGCTGTCTGCAGCCTCTGCAGCGTGGGTTTGATTCCTGGCCAGCCAGGGAGATACCCACATGGTGCAGCAGACCTCTCCTGTCTCACCCGCTGCTCCCCTCAGCGGTGTTTTCGGTCCGTCTGCCTGTTCTGTTCCCCACTCTGTCTCTGGTGAATCCTCTCACCCTCCCACATTTCTGGCCTGTACCCCAGTTCTTGTATAAATTAATAAATCTTAGAAAAATATTTGGTAGAAATCAACAGTGAATCCATCAATGCCTGGTACTTTCTGTTTTGGAAAGTTATTATTGATTTCCTAATATATGTATCGACTGTTACAAATTTCCCTCTAAGCATTGCTTTGGTTGTATGCCACAAATTTTTATCATGTGTGTTTTCATTTTTCCTTCATTCAGATATTTCAAAATATTTCAAAATTGCCCTTGAGACTTGTTCTGTGAATTTTATGTTATTATAAATTGCATTGTTAAATCACCATGTATTTTGGGACTTTCCAGTAGCTTTTCTGTTATTGGTGTCTTGCTTAATTCCATCATGGGCTGAGATCAGATTCCATGTGAATTCTGTTCTCTGAGGTTGTCAAGATGGGTTTTATGTTCTGGAATGTTTTCTGTGTTGGTGAATGTTCCGGATGAGCTTAAGAAGAATGTGTATTCTGTTGCACTAGGGTGAAGTAGTCTATAGGTTTCCTGAAGCCCAGGTGATGGGTGGTGGTGTTGAGTTGACTTTTCCCTGCTGCCTCTCTCCACTTTTGGCAGGTGGGTGTGGAAATCATCAACCATCATCACAGATTCACTTATTTCCCTCGCATTTCTAGCAATCTTTGTCTCATGAGGTGTTGATGTTTTGTGGTTAGACACAAACACATTAAGGATGGGCTTGTCTACTTCGGAGACAATTGGCCCTTTTATTATTATTAACATCCTTATTTATTTCTGATAACTGCCCTTGCTTTGAAGTCTGCTGTGTGTGTGTGTGCTTTCAAACTTTCATTGACAAAATTCATGCATTATTTTTCCTTTCTTTAGAGTTCTAGCATGCTTTCTCTATCTTTTGTAGTCCATAAAATTATCTAGCAATCCCGCACACCATCATTTCTTTGACACATATGTGAGGACTTGAGAAGATATTTTGCCAATTACTTTTTAAATTTAATTTTCCCTCTAGTAGAGTCTACGTTAGGGCAGTTTTCCTGTTACCTTAAAATAAACTTTTAGAAATTCACTGGACTGTACTTCTAACCTCCATAAATAATAGTGCTAAGAAATCATAAATTGGATAATCTAGTCTCAAATGCAGGTCTCTGAATTTAACATTTAGTATTGGTTTTAGGCTCAATTTTACATTATGGTCAATTAAAGTAAGTCTCTATGGGAAAAGAAGTGGTTAGAAAGATAGCGCTTAGTGTCATCAGCACAGCATTCTGTTGTGTAGGGTTCCAAAATTATTAAAGCTCCTTCAGAACTTGCATCTTAATCCCACTGGCAGCCCTGGGATGTTGCTCTGCTGCTGGTGTGCGTGCTGGTGCGCACAGCTAGCATGGCTGCGTAGATGTGCATTGTTGTACACTTTAACCACTCATGTGACAACAATCCATTCCCCTTTAAGAGACTAAAACA